GAACTTGTATCACTACCATGTTAAGTAGGTCAGACCAGGGTTTGTTTTATCATTTTTACTCATTTTATGAGAATGGTAAAGGTGAAAGCTGAATTTTATAGTAAAACAAATCTTTAAAGGATCCACTTGAAACCCGGTATCTGACATCGTAAAGGAGAAAAAGGGAAAAATCGGGTTGTCTTGTGCATGTTTTTCACTTTCTCTAGTCCTTATGCCCAAGGAGAGCACGTGCACTCCTAGCTATAACCTAGCATCTTCCAGGGTAAGAATACATTCCCTGCCTACTCACTGTTTTTACACTTCAGCACATATTAACCATCCCTCTCACCTACCTGCTTATGCATCTCATCCTTAGGAAAACACAATCCAGTCATTATCCAGGTCCATTAAATGATGAGTCTTATTTTTGAAATGTCAGTGCAGTGGCTTGATTCAATCCCTAAAGCAATTGCATGTCAGCAACTCCACCCTCAGAAAACTCTCCAAGTAGTCATTATTTGCCACATTTGCCCCTGCTGTCAGGTAAAACTGACACTGGGAGTAAACAAAAAGCAGGTATGCTTATCACAGAAAACCGCAACGGCTGCCGGATGGTGACAGCAGCTATTCAAAGCTTCAGAGGCTGCCATAGCAACACTAAACACAAACTTTGACAACACTCATACACAGCATACACCAGAAAACCCACTGAAGAATCTCTTGGGACCAGGGAGGAAGGAACTACAAGCTCTCCCAAAGTATCGAAGCATCACAGGAACTTGCCTCTCATGTTAGAACAAAACCAAAACCCTCTGAAGACAGAAACTAACTTCTGCAAATAAGACTGAGATGTGTGCAAAGCTTTATTCATGCCACAACTTCAAGCTATACACCAAAAACCTTAATGCCTTTTCCCGATGTTCAGTACTGGAATAACAGGCTATATAGCAGAGGCTGCTGCTCAGAGCTCCTCCTTTAAGGCCAAAACACCTCTCAGACACTCCCTGTTCAGATGAAACACTGCGAGAGGCCTCGCAGAAAAAGCCAACAGAGAAACATCACAGCTATCGCAGCCAGCATAATGACCCCGATGGTCTTCCTCTAGCTGTCGGAAACTATCCTGCATTCAGCCTGCTCATGGGATAATTTTTCCTTCCTTGTGATGTATACTCCTCATCACCGACGACTTCACAGACCTGCTGTCATTCCCAGGACAGGGACTCGGGGGACAGACACTGACATCATTCTCTGCCTTAACTGTACTGCTTGAAGGTGGCCAAGGGCCAGCTCATCACAGCAGATCGACCGCTTTTCTGGAGGGATGAAACTAGAGCGTCACCAAGCAAAGTAATGGCACTTTATTACTTGGGATTCAAAGGAGAATGTGCCTTTTTCCATAATCAGTGCTACTTTGTCCCCCAGCCGCTTGCTTGCCACCAGACAAAGATGGCCACGGCTTTTAGAAAGGGCCTGTCCCACTGCATATGCTGCAGATGCTTTTTCCAAGCATCTGTAGATATTTTCCAAGTAAGGCATCGAATTTTCACAATCCCTCATACCATACTGCAGTACCCCTATAGTGAGCCTGGCAGAACAGCCCTCTGCAGACAGAAAAGTTGGTGAGTAGCATCAAAGAAGAAGCAACAGCAAACACTACTTCTGGAATAGCCTATGCAAACCCCTCTTGAAGGGGAAGCAGGAAACCCACATAGCTGCAAGACAGTGGTCAAAGTTTCTACATAGAAGAGTACATGAGAAGTAGCCAAGAAAATCCGCTCCCCTCTGGGCAGGTCAGACAACGTTTCCAATGCCACATGGCCTTTGGCAAACGGAAAAGCTGCTATGCAAGGGAAATAAAAGAATGAATGAGCTGCTGTTGTAACACCCCTGATGAAACTTGGATTGCTTCCAGGCACAGCTACAGGAATAAATCAGGTTCTGCTCCTTTTTATTTGTGGTTACAACAGGTTTTCCTCATGTTTCTTTCTGAGCTTTGTTCCTTGGCCTGCTGCCAGGCTGTGATCTGAGTGGCAGAAGCTGCCCCTTCCCCCCACCCCCAGAGATGCAGAAACGTGTTACTTTTGGCCCAGTATGTGCTTTTCATTTTCTACATGGGTATTTTCTAGTAATATAAGCTGTGCGACACATCACACTGTTCAAAAAACAGCCAACTGGGAGCAGCACATGAGAAAAGGAAAACCACATCCTTGGCTGAATACAGACGAAGCTCTCGCAATTGCTCCGCTCTGCTATCTTAGGCCACGTGGAAAGCAATAACTGGGGGAAGAGGGGAAAGCAACGCCCACTGGCTTTTTTCAGAGTCTGCTCAACGAAGCACTGAAATCTATGTAATATGGCTCACAACTTTTAGTCTGCAATCAACACACAATCAGTCCTCACCATGATTAAATCATACTTCCAAATGCATTCCAGGCATCTTCCTCCAAAGGAACCTAGTGCTACTGATAAGGGAAGGAAACATTAACTGGTCAGTTAACTGCAGAATCTGATCTGCCGACACAAGAGACAGACTTTCCTTTTGACAGATTGTTTGCTGCTTGTGACCCACTTGCTGAAATGGTTTACTGGCAGGCCTAGAAAGAACTCTCAGTCACAGAGGTGAAAGGAGAGCATAATGCTTGCTAACCTACGAGAACTCTACCATTTAATGAAAATAAAAGATAGTTAAGAGACTTTTTTTTTTCCCCCAGTCAATCACAGATCAAAAGATCTTCAGTTCTGGAGCCAGTAAAGAAATTATCATCCATTCAAAAGGATGCTATTTTAAGTTTCCAGGATACTACTTTTCCAGCATACTTCTGCTATGCTTGTTTAGCTGCTACCACATTTCACCCAGTAAGTGGCTGAACTTTGGGGTCAGCACAATGATTCCTTACGCACCTGCTTTGTAAATTGCTTTGGCTTTCTCTGCAGTAAGAGTTCAAGAAGCACAAGTAATTCTATGCCACACAGAACAGGCAACACGCTCTGTGCAGGTCTGCAATGCAGTTAGTGGGGACTCATTCCACTTCCGCAAGATAATCATGAGGCACTGCATTGCAGCAGAAATCAGCTCTTATGCAATTCCTTCGGGAAGTCAACTACATCAGGTACATCACTTTCCCTCTTCTCCTATTTCCATGGTATATGAAGAGAACAGAATACTGTAGGTGAGAAGTGAATGATACCCTCAACCTTAACTGCAAGATACTTACTGGTGGCTCAGGCTTCCCCTCCCTTTTCTAAAGCAAGGTTTCTAAACCAGCTTGTGTAATTGGTTTCACTGATGGCTAGCTCCATGGCAACATCAGTATAAGCCTCTCTGCAAAGAGCCACCACAGAAATTCCGCCATTGCCCCCAGGACAGGCATTGCAGAAAAGGCCTCATTCTCTTCACGGATATACAATGAAACGGCAGCTTCCTCCTAACCACAAAACTATGAACAATCAATCTACACCAACCACTCGGTCATGAATTCCTTAATGTCACCACATGTTTTTTCATATCCTTGCAAGCATCAAATAACCAAGCATTACCTACAAGAAAAGCAGCAGAGAAACTGGAGAAAACAGGTCCTTCCAGCTGCCCATTTGCAGATATCAAGAGGTGTGTTTTGGCAGATGTGAGCAAGAATTTATAATGCAAATTAGGTGTGTCTCTTCCAGGAATAGAGGACCTGTGTGCCTTGGCAAACATTTCCATTCTGGTTAGGGGCAGCTTATTCGCCAAGCCAAGGCAGGGGCTGCAGTCCAGTGTGTAGACAGGTACAATGGCACTGCTTCCTGAAGAGAACCCATGGTATTTCAAGGTTCGTGCCTCTGCTAAGTATCTTTAGCAAAATCTGTAACTGTAATGTTACACAAGTATGGTACAGAGCAGAAATTCCTGGAAATTTATATACTTCAGCTAAGCCTTGAGCCCAAGACCCTCTTGGAAATCCTCAACTGGCTGACAGATTTTTCTATCCTATAGCAACATATCTGGTTGTCTTCTGTGTACAGACAGGTTGACCTAGCATTTCCCCATAGCTATGTGTGTTCTGTATGACTTGCTGGTTCTTTTCATATACCCAGAAGCAAGGATCACTTATTTCTAATTTGTTGCAAGCAATGGAATCATAAACAAGTCCTAGAAAGTAAAACCTAGAGAACATTACCTGAAGTATGGATAAGTAACAGCTCACCTGGGGAAAATCATTGGCCAGTGCATTCCAAAGAACAGCTTACAAATAAAGAAAATGGTTCATTTGTAACTATGAGAATCCATT